CTGGAACATTTTTCAAAATTCTTATCTCCAAGCATTACCTTTGTGAAAACCAATCCTCAACTCAATATTATACGTGTGCCCGAGAAGGCGGCACGCCAGGAGTTCGATATGAGCAAATTAAGATTTGGTAAGATGCTATTTTCCATTACCTTCAGACATTGCCTGTCATTGAGATTACTTCGAACATCACACGACACGTGCAGGGATACCGCATTCTGCCAATCCTATTACCTTGTAATTACTACCTGTCAGCGGCACCCGGAAAGATCGTATCTTTTTTCTGTCACAAACATGCTTTTTGAGCACGGTGGGTTTTGGACTTTGTGGAAATCAGACCGGAAAAACATCGGACACACCTGTCGCAGGCTACATTGTTGTTTCTGAATTAGTGTTTGTGGCTTTGTGCGTGGGCGTGCGTGTGTGTCGTCACTTTTTTTGTGTGAGCGCGACTGCGTGTGTGTGTGCATGTGCTTGAGTATCTTCGTAGATGGAGGGAGGGGCCGCAATAAGATGAACAGCAACTCCCGGGCGAGCTTCTTCACGTTATAATAACATGTATATCCAGCAATAGCCTGCGTGGAAAGGTCCAGCAATAGCCTGCGTGGAAAGGTCCAGCAATAGCCTGCGTGGAAAGGTCCAGCAATAGCCTGCGTGGAAAGGTCCAGCAATAGCCTGCGTGGAAAGGTCCAGCAATAGCCTGCGTGGAAAAGTCCAGCAATAGCCTGCGTGGAAAGGTGGGGTACATGTATGGCCAGATATTTCACTTGTTGGATAAAACTGAAAAATAAAGTCACATAAACATTCCACACGTTTTATTACACAGTAATTTTACCTTTACAGACAGTGTTTGTTCCCTTGGAAAACAACTCTCTTTTCTGATAGATTTTACTCAATTGTTGTGTATTTTTTCCCAGAAAATTAATTAAACTTGAACCTTTGAGAGACAACTTTTTGCTTCGTATTTTGTACCCCCCCCCCCCCGATATCAGAGGCTTCTAAAACAGTGTACAAAAGGGGCTTCTAAAAATAAGCAAAATTAAATGTGCCAAGCAAAAATTTTGTAATAGACTACCAGTGCACCGTGTCGGCAGCGGGTGCGATATTTGTAGCGATATTTGTGACGTCATGGATTCAGAAAGGCGAAAAGAAGGCGACATGAGGTGGAAGGACTCATACGTATCTGGTCGCCTGGTTTGCAACCTTTGCGATGATGAATAAAATACATTGTTTTACATCATTAATAATGATTTTGAATGAAATGAGTTTATGAATGCAGAAAGTTTTATAATACTCTTGCGCCGGACTCGTAAGAATAGATTTCGTAAAATTTCTGGGAGACCTACAGGTCAGTGATCTCAGGTGACCGTCACATCAGACCAGTGAGATGATTTGCTTCTTCTTGTTAACTAGCTGTCAGGACAGTTCATCACTGGAAGAATAAATATGGCCATATACAATGATAGCTGTTACATTCACCAAAAAGATGCTCGTCCCGATACTTACAGCGTCTCTTAAGCAGTTGATGATTAACAGCAAAATGATTCATGCGTACAAAAACGTATTTGTTACAAATTTTGCTGATTGAAAGCGTCCGGATTTTTTTTTTTTTTTTTTTTTTTTTGCTTTCCAAGTGTCATTGTTTTAATGAATGTTACTTAGTATGACGAACTTAAACATACCAATGCGTATTTTTATCATTCATATTTCATCTCTTCCCCCCCATCCCGAGTTCCATAGGTACCGTTGACTGAATAGAGTGTGCACTTACGTTTTATAATTTGTTTCCTTTGTAATCAAAACTAATAAGCAAACCTATTCATGAGACTATCAAAGCATTTCATCCTTTTTATGTTATTTTATGTTATTTATTTATTTATTGAGGAGGTGGGGTATACATATGATATTTCATTAAAGAGCAAGGCTCATTTTGGACGCAATATCTTCTTTAAAATAACGAGTCCTCTGTAGGATTGGCAAAATCTGATGATAGAAAATAATGCATCATCTTAATTTTAGATAACACATATCCACTTTACTTCAAGAACACGTGCTATTAATTTCTATTTTGCACCGTTTTGATGTTTCCTCTACAGAAGACAAAGCAACAGGAATAGCGAATATTAAGACAATTATTCAATTAGTTATAATGATTATTTCTTAGAAAATAAAATCTTGCAACAATTAGGAAAAATAACTCAAAAAACCAAAGAAAAGGCAGGTATTGATCTAAGTGTTTTATCAAAAGCTCTCTTTATATAAATATCCTGTTAGTGTAATTAAAGAAGCGCATGCTTTAGGAGATGTAATTGAGATGCCTTTCCAAATGATTAAAAAGACCCACTTCTGAGAAATCTATTCTTTATTAACTTAATTGAATTAATATGCTATCTGCAATATTCAGTATTAGAGTCGATAATTCAACTGCAATCATATTACTTGCTTTGGGATGATGCCGGTCCTTTGTAATGAATTTTTCATCCACTTGATTAGTTCCTGTCGTGGCGTGCTCCTAAGTTTGCAGCAACAAGTGACAGAGAGAGGAGAATCATTTTAACCAATCACCAGGCGGAAGTCGTCGGATATTGTGATAATTTTTAATTAAATTAGTCAGCGTTGGTACGTAAAACAGGATTCGTGAATTGATACTAAGGTGTGTCTAAATCCAGTCTTGATAAATCATATTTTTCATGTTAATATTTCAGGTACTGTAAAGACGCGTTTCGTGGGTCGACTACATCCCTACTCCTGTTCTGTTTTTTACACCTTTGTGTCCAATTTTCTCATTTGGAGTTCTAATTATTTTTTATATTAAACAGGAATTTATATAGCAATATTTGCCGCTGACATTTCCACCATGAAAAGGGGGTCACTAGTATGTCGACACGCACAAAAACACCACACCAAACAATGCACAATTGTTTTATTAGATGTGGTTTAAAAGCGTGATTAAAGAAATACAGCAACATATGTCTCCATGAGACTCCCACATATATATATTCACATAATTGACACGCGCTAAGGGATAGGTTTTATTCTCATTTACAGAAAAATGGAGACTACACGCTAAACGCGGGGAGGACGATGAAAAGGCATTGATCTCAATCTCGCACAATGAGACGGATGTCAGATGTAGAACTGTGCTTGTCACGATATAGAAATGACATCGGACTCTAATGATGCCAATTACGCTATTCCCCAGAGACATATCTACTGTGGTGACGATACCCAGAAAAGAAAGAAGGAAAATAAGAATTTCGCTTTTTTATTACCACGAATATAGGTTTGTTGTTTTACAGGTTTTACAGCATGTTATCCATTGCAGTAATTTAACATGCAGCGTCCATTAATTACTTGCGTCAGTAGCCTACATGTGCTCTAGTACAGTACATTTATGACTGAAGAATATATACAGAGAGAGAGAGAGAGAGAGAGGGATTGTTTTCTTTGTCACTACCAGGAATAATACAATGTTTGAGCTCTATAGGGGTCAGTATTTCCATATCTTGTCAAATAACCTCACAACAGAATACAGGCAATAAAAAAACATGACCATAATTTAATGGAAATAGAAAATGTTTTCCCCCGTTGGTTCTGGTACAACCGTCTCCTTTGCCTTTTCGTGGTTGTCCCGTTGTCCTTCTCATAGTTGTCTCGTTGTCCTTACCATGGTGTCCGTTTGTCCTAACCATGGTTGTCCCGTTGTCCTTTCCATGGTTGTCCCGTTGTCCTTACCATGGTTGTCCGTTTGTCCTTACCATGGTTGTCCCGTTGTCCTTACTACGGCTGTCCCGTTGTCCTTATCATGGTTGTCCCGTTGTCCTTATCATGGTTGTCCCGTCGGTTCTTCTGTTGCTGTTTTCTTGTCCTTAAAATACCGCATATGACAACGTCAAAACAAACAGTTATTTAGGTGAACTTGATATAAACGCTTAAGAAAAAAGGGATTTATTTACAAAATAAGTGGAATATGTGCAAATGAAAAGATCTAGCAACACTGTCTAACAGATAGGTACGTGAATATACCCTTAAATGTGCTTAACCAAAACTATTTCATCGTACATGCCTTAGGCAACGTCAAGTATGCTATACAAACCAAAGTCTTAAACGCAGTGGCTCTGTGAGAGGCATTGTGGTAGTTGTACGCAATAACACAACGCCAGGGAACATCCAACACAGTAGCACGACCAGGGTCATCAATCGGCAGTTGTACTGGTAGCACTAATGTTTGGCTCAGGATATGCGTTGTGCATAGTTTCAGGTTTACTTAGTTTCTTAAACCATTTTCTAGATTTCATTTGCGATAATTCTGTGTTCGCTTGTTGTTTTCAAATTACCAGTTTCGTTTTTAAAAACGTGGTCATTTAAATTAAACAGGATTAATCTTTCTTAACAGTTATTAAGAAACCCAGCACTTATTAGTTGAGTCAACCAGGTGTTTGTCAGCTGTACCTGTGGCTCTAACTGTAGACAGGTGTTAATTACTGTCCTAACCTTAATTGTTGCCAAATCTGGTGATAGTCATCGTGACTGACGTGTTTAGGTTACTAATTAAATGAACGAACATTACAATAGCTACCTGTAACTGTATGGTAGTCGAAGCTCTACATTTTCATTTGTTAACAGTGAAAGTTCATAAATAGATATATTGCCAAATTTGGGTATGTAGCAAATTGGGAATCGACAGCAAATGTTAGGGAGTTTAGTTTATAGGTAGTAAAAGTGAAAGTGTGTAAATTGCCCTAGTCAATAATTTTATACACATTTCCACAAAAAAGACAAAAGAAATAAACTATGGCTTAAACGTGACGAGTTAATGTTTTATTATCAAGTCCTCTGAAAGCCGCGGTAGAGTGTAAATCGTCTTTGTGGTCTTTTAAATTAAGGAAACGGCGCTGAAATTGGTTAACGACACAGCAATGTCGTTTTTTTTTTAAGATATATTTTCTTTAATGGCACTTTTAGCTTTCTTGAATCTGTTTGTTATACACTTCCGTTCAACATCTAGTTCAATTGGCGGGCACTCAACACTACATAACTTGCCCATCACCTTTCTAGGTACGTCTTCACGCTTTGTGTCCGCAAGATACAGTACAGCTTGGGCACTGGAACGCGACCCCAAACAGGTCGGGTATTGCGTGCTAAGACCAGAGACCAAGACGCCATTGAAGGATGCAGATTAATTCTCTCGTAGTTCTGAAGTGAAGAAAGCATTAAGTTTAACTTTACTTGCGAGGAACTATTTGCAGGGCACTTAACCAAAAAGACAGTTTGGGAGATCTCATCACATTGCCGACGCTGCGAGCTCACTATGAAAGTTGTCGTCTGCTGTTTGTTGGTTCTGTCACTTCAGTCTGTTCGTCGCGTTGCTTGTGTTCAGTTGACATTTTTTGCTCCGCGCCCTCAGGGTCCTGTCCAAGTTGGCGGCGCCGCATTGCCTCATACTGCCAACAGTGCACAGGAAGGTGAGTTTATGTACGTGATGTGTGTGTGTGTGTGCGTGTGTGTGTGTGTGTGTGTGTGTGTGTGTGTGTGTGTGTGTGTGTGTGTGTGTGTGTGTGTGTGTGTGCGTGTTTGTGTGTGTGTGTGTGTGTGTGCGTGCGTGTGTGCGTGTGCCTGTGTGATCATGATAATCAGCAGACATACAGGTTTAAGCCATTCTTATGATACATCAACAAAGTGTAGTACAACGATAACAATGGTTTATGTTTTGTTGAGGAAATTACACAGGATACATTGAGGATGGGAGGGTGCAGAGGGGATCTTATCAAAAAGAAGTGCAACGTAACAACTACACTTATGTAAAACATTTGCAAATATTTGGCATTTACGAGGCGTTAATGTGTATGTAACATATTAACGCCCAATCTGTATGTAACATGTTAACGCCTCGTACATGTAAATATAAAATATTTGTAAATGTTTTACGCCTGTATTATGGGATTATGGGATGAGGTTCTCCATTTTGGTTTATTATATGTCACCGGTATATACATTGGGCGGGGGGTGGGGGGGGGGGATCAGTCATTAGCGCGGGAAGCGGGGGAGAGAGCTAACAGGAATGACACCCCCTGGTGCTTCTTTCCTCCCCCAACACACACTTAAACAAACACACACACACACAAACACACGCACACACACACTCATACTCACGCACACACACACACACACACACACACACACACACACACACACACACGCACATGCTGTACACACACACACCTAAACTTTTCTTCCAAGGCACCTAAACATCACGTAAATAATTGTTTTCCGTAGAAAAAATCTGTTGTAATTGTTCTATTGCCCCTAGTTTTGCTCTTATAGCTTTCTTAATCAAGGAGCAGTGGTGGCATTAACGACTGACAAAAACTAGCAGCCATCATATTCAGCAAACCATGACAAGGAGACCATGAGTTACCAGTCTATCCTATGTAATAAAAGGTTCTCTTAAACGAAAACATTCACTTAACCTCAGAATAAAATCTAAATTAATCACTGAGTAATTAAATAACCTGCGCTCTTACATTTATGTACATTTATTGTAGTTTAATTGCTAAAATGACTTCCTTAATTCTTTGATGTATAAGGAGAGAAAGTGGCTAAAGTGCGTTTACACCTTTAAGTGCTTCTTGATGCAGAATATACCAAATACTGGTTGGTTTTGTCATCTGTCCGCTAAGAGATAGGTATCAGCTGATTTAATACGCAAATGACTTATATTCAGCATTTACATCTCCTTGACTAAATATACACACGAATCACGATGATGTCATCTTCAAAGACTTCTTAAACCAATTTTACCAAAAAAGTTATAATGATAATAACTTTATTGAGCACTAAATGCGTATATTTTAATAACATTTACAGCTATAGTAATTCCTCCAAAACGAGAGTCAAGTTTCTTTGATACTTCTTGGCCAAGATTTGGACAGTCGTAAATAATCGAACTATTTTTCCCATTTTTATCTGCAGTCGCCAGATTTCCTTTGTTTTTGGTAGCTAAGGTGTTCTTATCACATTTCTCTGAGATGTGTACATATTTAAAAATCCGTTTATCTGTCAATTCTGCTAATATTTTCTCAAACTTTTCTGTTACTTTATTGATATCACCTACATGTTCTGGTAGATGGAGTGTTCTCATCGCTGTTCTTCTCACAGTGTTGCTTGTGCATCTTCTTTTCTTGGTAACCATACAGCCACCATACAGATACGGTGCTCAACTTTCGTAATATCCTTTGTAATGAAATTTCTCTATCACAAAGACATTTGATTGGTGCATTTGGAATTTCTAGTGGTTTCAACCCTTCGCTTTGTACGGAAGCCGACAGGTGTCATTTTAAATATTATCTCGAAATTTCGAGGTAGTATCTCGAAATTTGTACAAAAATTATTATCTCAAAAATTCGAGGTAGTATTTTGAAATTTGGACCAATAAAATTCGGTTTCCGTAGTTTTGCTACAGATTACTATATTTTCAGATAACACCGCGTATGCCGGCGGTGACGACCTTGAGGAGGAGGGTCGGTTTGAAGGGACCACGATTCGTGCCGTTGACGCTGTGCCAAAGGTTCACGTGGAAACTGAAAGCAGAGGTGAAAATTTGGATTTATTATCTAGTAGTATTTCTGTAGCGTAGTACCGTGTATTAGTGCTATACTTTGGGTTTATCCAGAACACGTGAAAGGCATGCTCCCAGCAAACCTTTTAATAACGTTATCATAACGTTTCACTAACGTTTTTATTATATAAACGTTATGGTAACGTTATAAATTCGTTCTGTGTTTGCTGGGGCTGCACTACGAATACCAACAGCTAACATAGGCCTAAGGGCCGTCTTGTTCCATAGGGTTCATCTTTAAATCCATTTGTAAATAAAAAAAAAAACAGGCTCAAACAACACGGTCAGTATTGGGTGATTCCGTTCAGTGACGTCACACCTAACGTTTACTTGCTGCAACCGTAAGTGAACATGAAAAATGGTTGATAAATTATGAAGCGTTTATTCTTTTTTGTTAATTGGAGTTGCTTGCCTTTAAGTTCTTGACAATTATGAGTTTACCATTATTGGTAGTCATGTGATCTAAGGTTGCAGAATCCACTGGTAAATAGTGGTTAACCTATATTTAAGAAATTATTCTCACATCCAGTTTGAATGTGGAAACTATTCCCTCAAAGAAAAAACAATGCTCCAACAGCAAAATGTTTGTATATTGTGTGTTTGCCTTTCAGTCCGCCTGGTGAGCTACACGAAAGCTGTGCGGATTGAAAACAGATATATTGTTCAGCTGAAGGAAGACCTACCCGAGAGCAGAGGTGAGGAAATAAACCTCTTTGTTCACCTTACCCCATCTAGAGGTCGCGGAATACTTTCATGTGTGATTTACATGTACGAGATAAATGAAACAGTAGGCGGTTGGTGGTATTAACAAAGTATGGGATGAGGCGTATCGTTTAAATTAAGTTCTCTATTAAATTTTTCTATAAAAGTTCCCCATTAAAAGACCAAACCATACATGGATGGAGGTCCGTACCCAATTTATACGCTAATTATAATATTTTCAAGTCAGAATGACGTCAACAGATTTAATTACGTCACAGACGTGTCCTGAAATGTTAACCAGACCGGAACCCACAGAGTAGGCAAACGATTGTTTTTTTTTTACTTGGTTTCTGGTGCTAAATAATGTAAAAGCGTTTTTTGTTTTGTTTTGCTATCGTTTTTTGTTTTAAAAGAGACCATTAATTACGTTGCAGAATAATGTAACTCCATACTTGCCTCAATTAATTTTTTATTTATTTGAGCTAAGCTGTAACAGTTTGCAATATTTTTCAGTCAAATCTCACCTTACCGCTGTAAGAAGTTCCCTGAAACAAACAGGTCCTCTAGTCGCCAAGGCCGGGTCACCCTTACTAGCGCTAGGTCAACCAAAGGTCGATGACGTCATCACTATTGGCAGAGTGAAGTTTTACGTCATGGAGGCAAGGCCGGAGTAAGTAACGGATACTTATGAAATTCGAATTTGAAACTGATCGACAAATTTCATAGTTTATAAGATGACAAAATATTTGGTTTTGTTTCAGATTACAAAGGTAAGAGTGTTCGTTTTATCAAAATGACATCATGTAAGCCTTCTAAATGATCAGTCGTCCCAGGAATAAGATATACCAGTCTCATTTATTACATAAGAGAACACATTGCTATTTATATCGTTTATGATTTAGAAAACAAATATTGCTGTTGCCTTTGGTTTTATTTAAAAGTATCGGAGAATTGCCATAAAGAAGATCGCGTCATTTCAGTCAGTTATAGTGGGAATCTCTTATTGTTTTATCAGAAATAAGCCGCGGAACGCACGCAAATGCCTCAGGGAACGGTTTATTAAATTTTCCGCAAAACCATCATTTCAGGGACATGGACAACATTGTTCGCACCAAAAAATCGGATGTGACGACGGTGTATGAGGACACAAAGGTGAAACTCTTGGATTGCAAGAATTTCACTGGATGGCCCTGGGTAAGGACGGGTGGCGCTTTGGGAACCTTTTTAAAAACGGACCAATCCAACAGTCCTTAATTGTTTTTGGTATTAAAATTTAAATTTGGTTTTTAGTTTAAAACTATTATTATTATTATTATTTTTTTTTTTTGCATTGAGTAAACTTGTCACTGTACACGTACTCTCGATAATGTCATTGGCATAAAAGCATGGAAATCTTTTATTAATGCATTATAATGTATATTCAACGATATTATTTTTTATACTATTTCCTAACTTAGCCATGAAATGAACTAAGCTCGTCCTCCGTTTTCAGGGTCTAGACAGATTAGACATGAGGGCAGTGAGAGACTTCAGGGCGGAGAGAGATAAACGGCTAATAGTAGACGGTGATGGAATGGGTGTAGACGTCTACGTGTTGGACACAGGGATACGTGCAGACCACAGGGAGTTTAGGAAGAATAGGGGAAAAATAATACACAAGGTGCGCTTCGAAATATGCACGATGTTATATATGTACTGTATGGTTGGCGGATATTTTCTTACAAAGTCTTTGTCACATGTTTGTGACTGTAAGCAAGTTCCTTACTTCCTGATTTTTTTAATTCTTACATCAGCTGGATGGATAAATACGTGTAGCTAAGACAAGGTACACAAGAACTGAACCGATGAAGTTTAAAATTGAATTTCTACACAATAAGCGTACCTGAGAGCTTTCGTGTAAACATTTAAAAAAGCTCTCACGGACGCTTTCAGCTTATTGTGTAGAAATTGAACAGTTTTAAACTTCGTCATTATGAGTAGCACTTCTACACATATAAACTTTAATCAAAAGAACTGAACTTTTTTTAAACTTTTGATACGCCTCTGCTATATTCTCCAGGTAGATCCAGGGATGAGCGACGGCGATACCCACGGGCATGGGACACATGTGAGCGGTCTTATTGCCGGCAGAAGGTTCGGTGTGGCGCGTCTGGCACGGGTGAACGCCATCAAGGTAGTAGACGACAAGGGAGAGGGCAGTGCTTCCTGGCTTCTCAGTGGGCTCGAACACGCTGTTAATACTATCAAAACGAAACCTAACCGTAAAGCTGTGATTAACATTTCTCTTGGATACCCCAAGTCTGATCTGATAGACGCCGCGATAAATGAAACAGTCAGACTGTATAACATTCCGATAGTGGTCGCTGCTGGCAATGAAGCGATGGACGCGTGCGAGAAAAGCCCATCGGGAGCCAGCGAGGCTATAACAGTAAGTGCGACCAGTTATCATGATATTCGGCCAAAGTGGGCCAACTATGGCCCCTGCGTGGATATATTTGCCCCTGGAAATAACATGAAAAGTTCGGTGTCAAGTGCATGGAACGCTACTGACACCCTAAGTGGAACCTCCATGGCTTGTCCTCTGGTCGTTGGTTCTCTGGCAGCGTATCTAAGCAGCCTTCCAGCGTCCGTGAAACCCTCGCCTGCAGAGTTGAAGGATTACCTTATCAAGAGAGCCACAGTTAATGAAGTCAGAAACGCGGGGAAAGGGTCTCCTAACCGTTTGTTATATGTAAAATGTTCCAGCCTGCAGGAACCACAGACTTGCGATCCTCTGGCGTAACACAAAGTTAACCTTTATTTAACTGTTCGAAACACAATCGGTATGTTAAGTAAAAACAAATGCTGCCACCAACTATCAGTTGTAAGTCTTCTTTATTTCTTCTAACGACTGGAAGTTTTCTTGTACAAACTTCAGGCTAAACTGTAAGGCTGTAAATCTCTAACTGCATAACTCTAAAACTAACGTTAAAACAACCCTTTTCTATCCCGCTCCTCTACACTACTCAACTGTCCAACTATCCTCCCTATCTATGTCGCTCCCATATATATATATATATATATATATATATATATATATATATATATATATATGCGATAGAACCTCAAGCGCATGCGGTCCGCCCTGTTTGCCCTAGGTTCTAGATTTCAGTTTCGCCAGCTTGATCTTGATTTCATATATAACCCATATCAGCAAAACTGGCTCTAGCCATGCAATACCGTCAACCTGGAGGCGTTCTTCGGCATAATTCTGCCTGGGGCGCTTCCATATTTTGAAGTCACAAGTCTCGTACGTCACAGCTCTGTGCCGCTTGAAGCTGCCTTTCCCGCCTTGCGCTTACCTAACTCGTGCAGACGAGACAAGAAGCAGAGTGGTCGACGCGGAGTTTGAAGTTTGAACTAAGAATATATTGCTATTGAAGGTCAGTGCCACAACACAAACAACTTTCTGCTTTACAAACTGATTTTTGGTGTAGCCAATGCGCAGTCCTTATAGTGGTATCGGGCATACAATGTAACTGTTAAACTTGGGATACGACAAGCACGTGTATTGTGTTTATATCTTCAGGAGCAAATGTCTTTGATGAGCAAAAAATACAAAAACACCTGGTATATCTTTTTCTTTTAAAATATATATTATTTATTTTTCAATTTACATCTTGTATACGGTATATAAAATTCAATAAAGTAAAATTAAATTCGTTTTACGCTTCATCTTGGAGTAATGACATTCAACTGCAGAATCACTGCGGAGCAGTTCTTTTTGATCGACGGAATCTTACAGTCGGTTTCCGGCCTACTTAACACAGAACGAGGCTCTCATTTTAGGACTAGGGTAAAACATTGGCTTGCGCCCTTACTCTCAATGTTAAACTGGTGAAATTTGATCGTTCATATCAAACAGACCAGAGGACAATTACTTGTGACCACCACTTTGTCATATTCACTTGGGTTTTTAGCGTCAGCCAATGGGTCTCAGGAGGATTTTCTAGAAGTGATGGTGATTTTATCAGCGATAATACCAACACCCCTCCAAAGGGCTGCAATTTCAGTTTACACCAGATACATGTTGTAATAGGCATATTTTATCGTCTGCATCGAGTATATCTGTAAACAAATACGCGTGACAACTGTTTGTTGATATTCACTTTCGTATTTAGCTCAGGGAAATGGCCATCAAACGGATATTCTAGCGTCAGTTGCGACTTTATCAACGACGGTGGTGTACGCGTACGTACCAGTTCCTAATTATAGAGTCAGAATTCTTGTATAATAAAATCATTGTCAAACAAAGAAAACCATTATATTCATATTGTTTTTAGAGGTCTCAGTTTGAAAGATTTGATAAGCTAGAAAAGGGGGCTTGGGTAGCATTGCTCACCTGTCGTGTTCAAAGCAGGTGTCTCAAGTAATGCAATTAATGTGCTTTCAAAAAGAATATTTATTTGTCACCTCTGTGTTTTTCATTAAAATTTCTTCTTCTACTGTTGTCTGGATTATGTTTGAAGAGACTATGAAATACTTTTTTCAACTTTTGTAATTTCTGCAAAAAAGTGGAAAAATTAATTAGAGGCCTGCCAAAATTATTTTTCATAAATAAATTGATTCATCCATAATTATCCAATTAAACAAAAAGTTTTAACCAAGTTCACTCAGCTATAATGCTACTGGAAGGGGGGGGGGTAATAATCACCAATAGCTTTGTTTTTAAAGTTTTTATCCTTAGTTTTCATAATTGGAAATAATTTGAAAAACAGCAATAATGCTCTTTAAATATTCTATTTTTCTTTATTTTTAAATAAAAGCCTCACTTAAATCTTATAAGTTGTCAAAATCTACAAACCATTTTTGACTCTGATGCTAAATGAAGTTCATGGTGTTTTTTTTAGAACATAATATAAATTTATAAAGTAGTGATTTCATTTTTATTTTAAGAACATCAGACTCAATATCTCAATGATCTATAAAAGTCCGAATTGAATGCATATTTAACCGTCATAAATCACTTTGAATTCTTAAACAAAATGCAAAAGAAAAGATACAATAAAACTTGTTGACTTTAAATTTACATTATATTTCTATTTATAAGGTATGTAAGAAAGGAGTTATAAAATTCCTTGACGTACGCTGTAAACTTGTATTCTGAATTAACATTTGTACAGTAAAAAAAGCACTCCGAGAGAGCAGACCTCCGCCAATTCAGCGATTTTTGATTATTACTATTATTGATTATTGATTGATTATTTATCCGGATCACCACCAAAAACTAATCACTTAATTCATTTCCCACCTACCCTGAAAATTTCATCAAAATCGGTCCATAACTTTTTGAGTTATGTTGATGACAAACAAACAAACAGACAGACAGACAGACAGGGGTGAAAACAACCTCCTAGGCCGAGGTAATGAATTCTAATTTCTATGATATAAAACCTGTAAGCAAATATAACAGTAATGTCCAAAGGATAAAAAACTGAATCCATAACAAAAATTTGATAAGTGAGAGTTTTTATAATTGCTTTAAACTTAAGCATGGGTTAATAGATTTTACTCAGCAAACAGCTCCACCCGCTTGTTTCTTCCAGTTGAAATGTGCATTGATAGTTTTTCTTGCGTTATACTATCCTCTTGTTGAAAGCTTGGACATAAAAAGTTATGTCCAAGTTGAAAGTATGCAACTTCACAAAGAAAAAGTATTAGTTTTCGTTCCAATAGCACATTATTGCCATTTACACACTTCATAGTACAATTATTAAATGATTTATTGAGTATGTAAAAATTTTATTCCTGTCCATGATCTCAATTCTGTCTGCGGCTACATGGGTTTTAAAAAATTACTAGAAAAAATTGTTCAAATTCTCTAAATGGCATCTGCTTTCAGTAATAAAATCAGACTAGTAAATTGTCATAACAGCTTTCTTTCAGCTCCCCTTTTCAAAGACAAATACGATAACCAGACCTGTGAAGATCATACATCTGTTTTAGTTGTATTTGCTTCAATGACATCAACTGATAAGATCACTTTCTTCCAATTCAACCACCCCAAAGGGCTCTATGATTGTTTGAAGATCCAGGTAAGTTCTATACAATCGCTGATAAAATCGGCATCAATACTAGAAAATGTCCTTGATATAATTAAACAGTTGTCAAGTTTAATTATCTACCGGTGTGAGAGATACAGACGATCAAATTTCATCATTTAACATTGGGAGTAAATGAGCTTACCGATTGTTTTACCCTAGTCCGGGCGTGGCGGCCATCTTCTGAGGTCATGCCGACCGTAAGATATTCAGGGGCCGGTTTCACAAAGCAGTAGTTAGTTAGCGATCGGTAGTTAGCCTCTCGCTAGTTATAATGCCGTTTCACGAAGCAGTCGCTAGTTCTCTCGCTCGTTATTGTCTCGTTGTTACCATGGATATTTAACGACTGGTCAGACCAGTCGCTAACTCTAGAGTTTCATCGTACGCATGCGTAATGAGTGAAATAGAAAGGTTGCTTAGTTACCGTTGTCTGTCGTTTGTCTTTGTATCCAATATGGCGGCTACCTTTCTTGCTATCCGTACCGCCAGACGGCAACGTAGACTACGACGTTTTCATGAAAGGCAGAATCTATTATAATATACATACGATGATGCAATTTACGAGAGGTTGCGCCTAGCTGTGACAAAAAGAGCGGCAAAAAGGTGGTGGAGATCCTTTACGACGACCTCAAAGCAGACGTTCTTATGCATTTCCAGCCACCAAAAATTGGAGAGTTAGTGCTTTCGTGACACTTTTACGCAAGAGTTCCACTTCCGGCAGACGGTTTCGAGACTAAGGTGAGTAACGAGAGAACTAGCGACCGAACTTTACGACTGAACTTAGCGATAAGTTAACTACTGCTTCGTGAAACACCCCTCGAAAATCGCTAAGTTTGCTCGTTAGCGAGGTAGTTCAGTAGTTAGTTGTTCTAACTAACTACTGCTTTGTGAAACCGGCCCCAGGGCCACTGGAAGCTATCCCAAAGAAACGTTTGAATAATTAATAAGCTAGCTTTACAGTGGCCCTGACACTCAGGGCAGCCCTGTTCCCCATTGACGGAAATCTATTTGAAGGACACTTACCCAAAAAGACAGTTTGTAAGATTTCATCACATTGCCGACGCTGCGAGCTCACTATGAATGTTGTCGTCTGCTGCCTGTTGGTTCTGTCACTTTGAACAGCCTATTCGTCGCGTGGCTTGTGTTCGGTTGACATATTTTGCGCCGCCCCCTCAGGGTTCTTCCCGGAATACTGGTCCTGTCCAAGTTGGTGGCGCCGCATCTCGTTCTACTGCCAACACTGAACAGGAAGGTGAGGTTATGTACGTGATGTATGTGTGTGCGCGCACGTGCGCGTTTGCGTTCACGCGTGTGTACGTGCGAGTGAGCGCGTTTGTGTGTGTGCGTGCTTGCATGTTTGTACGTGCGTGCGTGTGCGTGTGTGATCACGATAACCAGCAGACATATATAATAGTACTTTTTTATGACACATCAACTAAGTCAAGTACATTTGTACAACGATAACAATGGTTTATGCTTTGTTGAGGAAATTGCACAGGATACATTGAGGATGGGGGGGGGGCATTGGGAATGATGCCAATTACGCTATTCCCCAGAGACATATCTACTGTGGTGACGATACCCAGAAAAGAAAGAAGGAAAATAAGAATTTCGCTTTTTTATTACCACGAATAAACGTGACGAGTTAATGTTTTATAATCAATTCCTTTGAAAGCCGTGGTCTGTGTAAATCGTTATGTGGTCTTTTAAAGTAAAGAAACGGCGCTGAAATTGGTTTACGACAGAGCAATGCCGATTTTGCTTTTAAGATATATTTCCACTAATGGCACTTTTAGTCCGCATCAATCTGTTCGTTATACAGTACACGTCCGTTCAACATCTAGTTCAATTGGCGGGGACTCAACACTACATAACTTGCCAATCACCTTTCTAGGGACGTCTTCAGGCTTTGTGCCCGCAAGGTATATAGTATAGCTTGGGCAGCGGAACGCGACCCTAAATAGATAGGGTATTGCGTGCGAAGACCAGAGACCAGCATTCCGTGCGATAAACTTTATTTGAGAGGAACTATTTGCAAGGCACTTAACCAAAAAGACAGTTTGGGAGATCTCATCACATTGCCGACGCTGCTAGCTCACTATGAAAGTTGTCGTCTGCTGTCTGTTGGTTCTGTCACTTCAGCCTATTCGTCGCGTGGCTTGTGTTCGGTTTACATTTTTTGCGCCGCGCTCTCAGGGCTCTTTCCGGAATACTGGTCCTGTCCAAGTTGGCGGCGCCGCATCTCGTTTTACTTCCAACACTGCACAGGAAGGTGAGGGTGTGTGTGTGTGTGTGTGTGTGTGCATGCATGCGCGCGTGTGTGCATGTGTGTGTGATCAAGATAACCGACAGACATACAGGTATGGTACATTCTTATGATACATCAACTAAGTCAAGTACAACGATAAGAAAGGTTTATGTTTTGTTGAGGAAATTGCACAGGATACGTTGAGGATGGCAGGGGGGCATTGGGGATTTTATCAAATAGAAGTACAACGTAACTACTAAACTTATGTGAAACATTTGCAAATATTTGACATTTACGAGGCGTTAATGTGTATGTAAGGCCTCGTAAATGTCAAATATTTGTAAATATTTTACATCTGTATTCCACCGAAATTGGATTTAGTATTTGGAGATGAGCTTCCTTTCCCTTTGCTTTCTTATATGTTACTGGTATATATCACATAAACCTCGATGGGGCCGGGAGGGGGGTGGCGGGGGTTGAGGCGAGGGGTGTCAGTCATTAGGGCGGGAAGCGGGGGATGACAACCCCTGTGCCTCCTTCTTCCCCCAACGCTATCTCTTTCTCTCTCTCTCTCTCTCTCTCACACACACACACACACTAACAAACCTCAACTTGTCTTCCTATGCACCTTTTAAGGTTAATGTTAAAACATCAAATTGATAACTGTTTTCCGTAAAAAAAAACTGCGCTGGAACAAATGTTGTAATTGTTCTATTGGCCCTAGGAAGGTTTTGCTCTTATAGCTTTCTTAATTAGTGGTGGCATTAACGACAGACAAAAACTAGCAGCCATCATATTCAGCAAACCATGACAAGAAGACCACGAGTTAATTTTCTTAATATCCTTTGTAATAAAAAGTTCTCTTGAACGAAAACAGGCGCGTATTCACTTAACCTCTGTATAAAATCTAAGTTAATCACTGAGTAATTAAGTAATCTGCACTCTTACATTTTTGCACATCTATTATCGTTTAATTGCTGAAACGACTTCCTTCAATCTTTGATGAATAAGAGAAAAAGTGGCTAAAGTACCTTTACACATTTTAAGTGCGTCTTGATACAGAATATACCAGATAATTTTTATCATCTTTCTCTAAGATGTGTAGTCATTTAATTAACAATCCGTTTATCTGGCAATTCTGCTAATATTTCCCCACAGTTTTCTGTTACTTTAATGTTATCACCTACATGTACTGGTAGATGGAGTGTTTTCTCATCTGTGCTCTCCACACAGTGTTGCTTGTGAATCTTCTTTTCATGGTGACCATACAACCACACACACACCCCTCCCCCACCCCTGACAACCATGACAAGAAGACCACGAGATACGGTGCTTAGTTTTCATAATATCTTATGTTATAAAATTTTTCTATCACGGAGACAGTTATTGTTGCATTTGGAATTTCTAGTTTTTTCAACCTTTCGTTTTGTGCGGAAGCCGACAGGTGTCATGTTTAAAAATATATTATCTCGAAATTTCGAGGAAGTATTTTGAAATTTGGAAAAAAAAACGACTTCCGTAGTTTTGCTACAGATTACTATATTTTCAGATAACACCGCGTTTTCCGGTGGAGACGACCTTGATGAGGAGGGTCGGTTTGAAGGGACCGCGGTTCGTGCCGTTGACGCTGTGCCAAGGGTTCACGTGGAAACTAAAAGCAGAGGTGAAAATTAGGATTTATTACCTAGTAGTATTTCTGTCGCGTAGTTCCGTGTATTAGTGCTGTACTTCGAAACCCAGTGGGTTTAACCAGAAAACGTGAAAAGCATGTTCCCAAGAAACCGTTTAATAACGTTATCATAACGTTTCACTAACGTTTTTAGTTAGATTCCATTCAGTGACGTCACACATAACGTTCACTTGCTGCAGCCGTAAGTGAACACGAAAAATGGTTGGAAAATTTTTTAATTGGAGTTGCTTGTCTTGAAGTGCTCAACATTTTTGAGTTTGAAACCATTGTTTGTAGTCAGGTTCATGTGATCTAAGGTTTTAAAATCCACTGGTAACTAGTGGCTTACCTAAATTAAAAATTTTATTATCACATTCAGATTGAACGAGGGAATTATGCCCTCAAAGAAAAAAAATGTCCCAATAGCAAAATGTTTGTATTTTGTGTATTTGCTTTTCAGTCCGCCTGGTGAGCTACACGAAAGCTGTGCGGATTAAATACAGATATATTGTTCAGCTGAAGGAAGACCTACCCGAGAGCAGAGGTGAGGACATAAACCTCTTCGTTCACCTTACCCCATCTAGAGGGCGTGAAAGGCTTTCATGTTTGATTTACGAGATAAATGAAACAGTAGGTGGTTTGTGGTGTTCACAAAGTATGGGATGAAGCGTATTAAGGTGCAAATTAATTTCTCTATTAACCTTTTCTATAAAAATTCCCCATAAAAAAGCCGAACCAAACAGAAGGTGGGTCCATACCCAATTTACACGCAGGCTAATTATAATATTTCCAAGTCAGAATGACGTCAACCGATTTAATTACGTCACACACGGGTCCTGAAATGTTAACCAGACCGGAACCCCCAGAGTAAGCAAGCGATTGGTATTTTTTATTTGATTTTTGGTGCTAAATAATGGAAAAGCGTTTTTTTTTTTTTTTTTTTTTTGCTATTATATTTTGTTTTTAAGAGACCATTAATTACTTCATAATAATGTTGCTCCAGTCTTGCCTCAATTTGATTTTTATTTATTTGAGCTAAACTGTAATAGTTTCTAATACTTTTCAGTCAAATCTCACCTTACCTCTGTAAGAAGTTCTCTGAAACAAAGAGGTCCTCTGATCGCCAAGGCCAGGTCACCCTTACTAGCGCTAGGTCAACCAAAGGTCGATAACGTCATCACTATTGGCAGAGTGAAGTTTTACGTCATGGAAGCAAGCCCAGAGTAAGTACCGGAAATTTATGAAGCTCGAATGTGAAACTGATCGACAAATTTTATAGTTTATAAGATAACAAAATGTTTGGTTTTGTTTCAGATTACAAACAGTGTTCGTTTTATCAAAATGACATCATGTAAACCTTCTAGTACTTGATCAGTTTGTCATAAGGGAACACGTTGTCATGTATATCGTTTATGATTCAGAAAACAAATATTGCTGTTGGCTGCGGCTTTGTTTAAAAGTATCGGAGAGTTGCCAAAAGGAAGATTGCGTCATTTTAGTCAGTTATACCATGGGCATCTCATAGTGTTTATCGGGAATAAGCCGCGGAACGCACGCAAATGCCTCAGGGAACGGTTTATTATATTTCCTGCAAAACCATCATTTCAGGGACATGGAGAACATTGTTCGCACCAAGAAAGCGGATGTGACGACGGTGTATGAAGACACAAAGGTGAAGCTTTTGGATTGCAAGAATATCACTGGATGGTCATGGGTAAGGACGGCTGGCTGTTTGGGAGCGCTTAAAAAATCAATCCAGCAGTCCTTCTTGCTTTGGGGATACATTTTGCTGTTAATTTTAAAATAATAATAATAATAATAATAATAATAATAATAATAATAATAATAATATAACTTTTTTTGCAATGAGTAAACTCGCTCTTGTACGCTTTATCTCGATAATGTTATTGGCATAACAAACAAACACATTTTATTTATGCATTATAATGTATATTCAACGATATTTAATGTTTTTTTACACTATTTCCTAAGGGCCCCTTAAAACTGGACGGCGTCCTTTCTGCGTCCAGCAGGACGGCCCCATTTGAGAGTTAAAAAATTATAATACTTCACGTGCCGACAACTGGCCGATCATTGAGCATTCATTCTGATACAAAATCAATGCTCGTCCCTCCTTATTAAGACCACAGCGATGCCAAATTTCATGGTCGCAGAAAGGACGCAGAAAGGACTTGTCCAGTGTAAAGGGGGTATAACTTAGCCATGAAATGGACTAAGCTCGTCCTCCGTTTTCAGGGTCTAGACAGACTAGACATGAGGGCAGTGAGAGACTTCAGGGCGGAGAGAGATAGACGGCTAATGGTAGACGGTGATGGGAGGGACGTAGACGTCTACGTGTTGGACACAGGGATACGTGCAGACCACAGGGAGTTTAGGAAGAATAGGGGAAAAATAATACACAAGGTGCGCTTAAAAATATACACGATATTATATTGTATGGTTGGGGACTAAAGTCAGATGTTTTCTTACAAAGTCATTACCATTTATTTGTGACTGCAAGCAAGTTCCCAAGCTCCTGATTTTTAAAAAAATATATAGATCAGCTGATGAATAAAAACGTGTATGATAGTATTACAGTGACCTCCCTTGGGAGGCGAGAGCATCAACATCCGTTTTATACATGTATGACCAGTCGTCCATTGTAAACTGTGCTGAGTTTCACTTTTTGAACTGAATTTTTAACTGAATTTCACTTTTTTAAAAACTTTTCATACGCCTTTGCTATATCCTCCAGGTAGATCCTGGTATGAGTGACGGCGATACCCACGGGCACGGAACACACGTGAGCGGTCTCATTGCCGGCAGAAGCTTCGGTGTGGCGCGTCTGGCCCAGGTGAACGCCATCAAGGTAGTAGACGACAAGGGAGAGGGCAGCGCTTCCTGGCTGCTCAGTGGGCTCGAACATGCCGTCAATACCATCAAAACAAAACCAAACCGTAAAGCTGTGATTAACATTTCTCTTGGATACCCCAAGTCTGATCTGATAGACGCCGCGATAAATGAAACAGTCAGACTGTATAACATTCCGGTAGTGGTCGCTGCTGGCAATGAGGCGATGGACGCGTGCGAGAAAAGCCCATCGGGAGCCAGCGAGGCTATAACAGTAAGTGCGACCAGTTATCATGATATTCGGCCAAAGTGGGCCAACTATGGCCCCTGCGTGGATATATTTGCCCCTGGAAATAAAATTAAAAGTTCGATGTCAAGTGCATGGAACGCTGCTGCCACCTTAAGTGGAACCTCCATGGCTTGTCCTCTTGTCGTTGGTTCTCTGGCAGCATATCTAAGCAGCCTGCCAGCGTCCCAGAAACCCACGCCTGCAGAGCTGAAGGATTACCTTTTCAAGAGAGCCACGCTTAATGAAATCAGAAACGCGGGAAAAGGTTCCCCTAACCGTTTGTTATACGTAAAATGTTCCAGCCTCCAGGAACCACAGACTTGCAATTGTATGGCATAACACAAAGTTAACCTTTGGTACTGTAAGCCAAATATCTCATATTAACACATTTCAAGGATGCACGTTTTAAATATTTTGAATGTCTTTGTTACATGGGCCATGATTTCTAGAGTAATGCATAATTTGTTAATTATGATGTGTTTATGTAAGAGAAATCCATTATATTCACTAATGTGTGTTTATATATACAGTAAAAATATCACATTTTTTGTGCAGTGCATTTTCACCACGGTAACTCGACATTCATAAATGACAACTCTCAATAACAATTGTTTATTTTTTACCGTGATTGTTCCGTGTGTTAATCAAACATATT